ATCTATGCCACGAAGAATTGAGGCAGTTCTGAAGGCAAAAGGGGGTCCAACCCGTTACTAGCGTGGTGTACCTAATAAAGTGGCCGGTGAGTGTATATTCCTCTATTAAACTGGAATGGACTGGTTTGGAAGCTGGAGGCGTGCAGGGTGTGCAGCACCTCCTTTGGGTTTAAAGAGACAGCCTCAAAATGAGTTGATCTGAGACACACCTCAGCAAAAGGGGTCAAAGAAGGGCTTGTAGAGTTACAATAAGGAGAAATTCAGACCAACGTATTGCAGTTGCACTTTATGCAGATCCCAACTGAATGATTTAAATGGGGAAAAGGGGTTTAAAAGCATGTCTCCTTTAAGCAAACTCAAAAATGAGTAAATCTTTATGGATGTTGAGCTAAAATTGATGTTGTATCTGAGTCCTTCACAACTCATACTCCAAGAGCTACTCTGTGCATCATCTTGTCAGAAAAAAGTCCCTTTTAAACAGAGCGTCAGTGTGAATATCCTTATCGCATAATCTGAGTTATCAGATTTAACGAGACACAATCAAAACATAAATTACAATGTTTAACCCAAACAGCTTAAACACTGTCATTTCTCATCACAAGATTATTTTATTTAACATGAAAGGTGGCAGGCCATAAGCATTAATAGTTTTTTAAATAACATTAAACACCGATCATCAAATTTTAATTCAATAATGCTTATATTATGTTTGTTTTGTTGTTTTTTTTTTAATGTTTTGGACCAATTTTGGCTGCACTACACCTAAAACTTCACCTCCCCAACAGCATTCCCAGGTGTTATTCGTTGATTCTCTTACTGAAGATAGAAGAAACCTATTTCTCCACGTCTCCTCCTCCTCCTCCGGCTCGTCTCGCTCCACAGCTGATGTTTCCGGACACACAGGGCGCGGAGCCAGCTCGCTCCCTCACCGTGACCCGGGGAGCGGGACACTTTTTGCAGCGTGCGGGCTATAAGGAGGAGGGAGTGGCGCTGTAACAGAGAGGAGAGAAACTCCACGCGCAGACAGACAGTGTGGCACGGACGGCAGCGCCCGGGATAACGTGATTATAAGGCTCTATTAGAGCTCCGCTCCTCGGCTCAACTAGATGCGACGCAGAGATCAGGGCGTGCGGGGAGAGTCAGGAGGGGAACAGGCTCCGTTCGCCACATGGATCTCCTCTGCCTCTCACTGATTTGCCTAAAGAAGTTACCTGCTCACAGTTTTTTCAGTGAGCGGGTGCTCCGCCACTGGAGAGGCTGTGTGACAGTTTCTTCACTAAGGTAGGATTATTTATTTTTTATATTTACGTACCTATTTGTACCTTTAACTGACTTAATTACTTTAGTGATAATGGAAAACACTATGTATTAACACTACCATTCAGGGCATTAAGTTTTTTCTTTTCCCCCGTTTTCAGATAAAGTGCCATCCTTATAAAACGATAAGGGCTTCTCCCTGAAGAGGCAGCGCACAATGAAGAGGAAAAATCTGGGAAAGTCTCAGAGGAGTGATTCCCTTCCTTTCTTTTTCAGCCCTGCTGTCAGCTACTAGTTGAGTCCATCCTGGTGGGTGATATTTGCTAACCTCAGGTGAACTCACACAGGAAGTGAGCCACTCTGCTGCGATGGAGTTCGACAACGAGACCCACCAGAACTTTACAGGCATGGACTCCTACAATTTGGAGGTGGCTCTGCCGCTCAGCGTGCTGGTGGGGTTCATGATCCTGCTCATAGTGTTTGGCAACGTGCTGGTGGTCATCGCTGTGTTTACAAGCCGGGCTCTGCGAGCGCCGCAAAACCTGTTCTTGGTGTCCCTGGCGTCGGCTGACATTCTAGTGGCGACCCTGGTGATGCCCTTCTCCCTGGCCAATGAGCTGATGGGATACTGGTACTTCGGTGAGGTGTGGTGTGAGATATATCTCGCACTTGATGTTCTCTTCTGCACTGCTTCCATCGCCCACCTCTGCGCCATCAGTTTGGACCGCTACTGGTCCATCACCCAGGCCATTGAGTACAACTTGAAGAGGACGCCACGCCGCATCAAGAGCATCATCTTCATTGTGTGGGTTATCGCCGCCATTATCTCCTTCCCACCCCTGATCACCATGGAGAAGAAAAACCAAAAGGAATTTCCCACGTGTGGGATCAATAATGACAAGTGGTACGTTGTTTCCTCCTGCATCGGCTCCTTCTTCCTGCCATGCATCATCATGGTGCTGGTCTACATACGGATCTACCAAATCGCCAAAAAGAGGACACGGGCGCCACCAGGAGACCGGAAGCGGGAAGACGCTGTAAAGTCAGCCAATGTTGGCGCTGTCAATCCAAAAGAAAATGGTGTGGGCGATGCTGAGGATCCCCTCTGCCACGAGAAGCTCAATGGTGAACGGGATATCGAGCTAAAGGAAGGACTGAGAGGAGCACGGGGAGCTGATGAAGTGAAAGGCGAGGTCAATGGGGTGGACCTGGAGGAGTCATCCTCTTCAGACCACAAGGTGAATAATCCATGTTCCATTAAAAAGAAATCAAAAAAGGGGAAAACCAGATTGAGCCAAATCAAACCGGGGGACGCTAACGCCCCAAAGCAGGCACCAAGCACCAAGGCCAGTCGCTGGAAGGGCCGGCAGAACCGAGAGAAACGATTTACTTTCGTCCTGGCTGTGGTTATTGGAGTCTTTGTCATTTGCTGGTTTCCCTTTTTCTTTACGTACATGCTGATGACGCTGTGCGAGTCCTGCCATGTGCCCATGACTCTGTTCAAGTTCTTCTTCTGGTTTGGCTACTGTAACAGTGCCCTGAACCCTCTTATTTACACCATCTTCAACAACGACTTCAGAAGGTCATTCAAAAAGATCCTGTGCAAAAGGGACAATAGAAGATACGTATAATTCAGTTTTCTTTTTTTTTTTTTGTATCGTATCGTGTACATATGTTGGTAAACATCTTGCCCATTGTGCATGGACCAGCAGTTTGTGATCGGTTTCTGTGTTGCTGCCCAGGAGCAGCTTTTTGTGCAGCAGCATCCTTCGAAAGCATTCACCAGCCACAGCTTTAACACAAGCAGAACCACCACAGTGATTTTCATTGTAACTGCAATTCTTACTTTAGATTTTTTTTACATCATAGTGATCTTCATGACATGTTTTAAATTTGTATGTTGTACAACTTGACCCATTTGAGTATTTGTCTATTTTCCTTTTTTTAATGGATGCAGTACTGTGCTTTTATTTTTATTTTTGTATAATGTGATGAAAATGACACAAAGGATGCTGATTATAACTTATGGTCATACTGCAGACTCTAAGAATAAATAAAGACCATTTCCTGAAATGGTTCCATGCATTAATAGGAAAGATCAGAGTCATGATTTACCATCGATGTGTCTTTACTTTGAACAGCACCTGTTCACACAATGAATGAAGGCATCTGGGAAGTGAAGGGGGATGCAACAGTGACAGAAAAGTTGAAAGTTGTTTTGAAAATGTAATCAAGGCTCCCTGGTGTGAACGGATCCTTCCTGTCAGTGTTTGACTGAAGACATGAAAACATGAGCTCATATTCATCGCTGTGTTTAATCTGACCTTTTTAAGAGCCAAATAACAAGCTCAACTCTTAATGAGCCTGAAAGGAACGTGTGCAAATGTTGTTTTGGTTCCCAAATTAATCATGTTTACTGTCAAATGAGGGTCTTTTATCTGCAATGTCAAACTCTAAATGAGTCGTGTTTTGAATCTTTTCTTTTTGCCTTCAAGTGCTCCCTTGCCTCCAATTTCAGGTGGTTCATGAATCAACTTTGATGTAACGCCAGGCACAGGGAATTGGAGAACTAGCGGTTCGTTTCGTGTTATGCAGTGTTAAGTAGGCACAGAGCGTGTCAAAGCAGAACCTGATTGACTAGTCTGTCTCTGTTTATATTCTCACCTTGTTTCTCTCCGTTCAGATCAGAAAACATTAAATTAAAAGCCTAGCGTTCCTTGAAGGAATCCTCATCGATCATTTCTTTTCATGGTAGATTTTAAATTCATGATGGCTGACACATACACACCAAGGTTTAGCTCAACATCACAGAAGCAATTTTTTAGCTATTGTTGATTGTGTGGCAGACATCCTGAAATGATGTAAAACAGTTTAATGGAAGTGGGTAATCTATCATGAGATGTAGTCATTTTTGTGATTTTTGTGTTTATGAAAATTGAGCTGTGGAGGCCATCTTGAATCAGGCTACTTTCACACTGCAGGCAAACGTGACCCAAATCAGAAATTTTCATGAATGTGACAAATGAGATTTTTTAAAATCTGACCCAGGCCTATGTGGAATTTAATCAGATACATTTCTGATGTTTTTCAAAGTAACCGCATTCGGAGCGCTCGTGTCAAATTTCTGACTTTTACGTCAGCGAGGTGGGGATGAGCAGATCAATCCAAGTATTTAGAATATTGATACCAACCTTGTGCAGTTTAAATCTTGCAGCTCCACACATCTTCAGCTACAGAACAGAAGTCCAGTCTTTGTTCTTTTACTTTTCCGTGTCCTGATGACCGAGAATCCACTGAAACATAGGACAGTAATGTCGATTTCAAACCGTTACTCTATCGATACTTTGTTTTCAGCACATTGCTCACATTCCAAAAATAAAATGCTGCAACTGACCAGAGGCAATTTTAAATGTAAACACTGAACTAAACAAGCATTCCAAATAAATATTTAATCAGCTCTGATTGCACAACAACTTTGGAACCAACATGCTAACATGTAGCATCTATATCCATGTCTGTAAATAGGGAGTTGAGTGTCCCTTCATGTCTACTTCTGCAATTGCGGGTTACATCCACTCTACGGACAGTCTGATGGAGGTTGCATTTAAAATATAATGTGAACGTCCACAGAAATAAAATAGGACTTTTGTAAAAATATCTGAATTGAGCATTAAGACCTGCCATGTGAACGTAGCCTTAGATTGACACCTAACGTTGTTCAATTAGATGGGCATCCAGTGATTACTTTCTTAGAGTTTAATTAAAATTTGTTCAGAGCAACTATTTATAATTATATTACATATAATGAAAAGTCTTCTCTGCAGAGGAAGATGATGCAAAATGCTTCCTTTTCCCAGTCAGTGAAGAAGCTGAACAGTAGAGCCCTCACAAAACTGAATAAATAGTCCCTCTGGGAGATTTCCACCAGCGCCTCCTTCTGATGAGCCAGATGTATAATAAGACTGAGCTTCTCTACATGTTTATGAAATGTGCAAGCCCAGTGGGAGTAGAAGAGTGTGAGAATGTGCATGAGCATTTGCTGCACACATAAACAGTGTGGGTGATCTCTGGATATTGTCTTGATGGATACAATGAGAAAAGCACTCCAACTAAAACCAAGCATGTCTAAAACTGTTGTACAGACTTCAGAGGAACCTTCAGAAACTTTCCTTTGGCAGATTAATGTTTGTCTTCCAATAACTGTTAACTCTTTTAAGATGTTTTCAAGTTAGTACAAAAGCCAATACAATTTTTACTTCCTTGAAGGAATGCATATCACCTGCTGCCCTTTAAAATAACATGAGAAATCACAGAGTTGTAGCATTTTTGGTCAAACCTTGGAAATAATGTTATGCGTAATCTAATGAAACATAGTATGTGTTGTCAATGACTCTCATCTAGACTAAGATTTTAGTGTAATGTTGGTAAAATGAACAGAGATACCAATTTTTGTATTTTCTTAGATCATTGGCAGCCATCTTGAAATGGGTTGTCTTCAAAAGCTAATAATTGTAGAAGTGCATCTGATGATTTCACTAAATTGCATTCAGTGTTTCATGAGACATTTTAGTACACACACACACACACACACACACACACACACACACACACACACACACACACACACACACACACACA